CACAAACAAATATTACAAAAAACATGATTTTTATTGTGGAAAATCAGATACTGCAAAGCAGTGCAAAACCAAAACTGCAAGGGTCTGGAAAAACCAAAACTGGGAGGGTGTAGAAAAACAGATATTGCAAATGGAGGAAAACCATAACTGGGTACGTGTGGAAAATCTATAATGCGGGAAGTCGAAAAACCAGTGGATTTTGTCCTGCATTCTTCTGCCAGAGATCCAGATAGAAACCTCATTTCCCCCTTACTTTTTGTGTCACCCCCGTGTATTTTGAAACCAGAGATGGAAGAAATGTAAGGGGTGAATGAGGTTTAGTCCCTTCCGCTTCTATGGAGAAACCTCTTGAAAATATGTTATTTTCCAGAGGAATTTTCCCGGTGGGACGTCCCAGCGGGAACATTCCTCTGGAAAATAACATATTTTCAAGAGGTTTCTCCATACAAGCGGAAGGGACAAAACCTCATTCACCCCTTACATTTCTTCCGTCTCTGGTTTCAAAATACACGGGGGTGACACAAAAAGTAAGGGGGAAATGAGGTTTCTATGTGGTTTTCCTAGGGAATTTACATTTTCCCTACACCGTCGCCTGCTGAAAGAAACAGGATTTCCAACACTTTCTGCTAAAAGGAACAGGATTTTCAGCACACAAAGAACCACCTTCTCACTTTCCCGGTGGGGTGCTAAGTTTTTATGTACATGTGTGTGTGCATTTTCTTTTATTGATTTTTAAAAGGTTCTGTTTTAAAAAAAATATGAAAAATTACTTAAACTATATTTTTAGGCGTTGCACTATGGGAAAAAAGTCTATTTTTTGGCCTAAACTCTTGTTTTAGAGATACAATTTAGAAAATTTTTATATATACTATTAAGATAAAGCTGTAATTTCGGCTTTTGTTGCTTTTTGAATCGGACCATTGCACAGTGGTTGCGCCCATAGGCCAAAAATCAAAAAATCGAAATTACCAAAAATTATTGATAAGTATACAAATTGTCTAAAAAATAACCAAGCTTCTTAATGGCAAACCGGAATTTTCTGGAAATCTAACGGGACTTTCTAAAAATAGAACACAAAGTGTGAACACGTGTTCAATTTTGCAGCGCAGCGGCGTTACGTTAGCATTTCGTCAAAACAAAGTTGCATTTCAAAGCGGTCTAACTTTTACAAGAGAGGACCAAATTAGTTTATTTAAAAAGAACCTTAAAGTTTCAGGTCTTTATTTTAATAAGTATTTTTTGTGAAATTAATCTGCTTGATTTGTTATTTGTTGTGTATTTTTGTTTATTAATCCTTTATTTATGTATTATGTGAACGTAATTTTCATGTTTAAATAGACTTTTAGATATGTTACCCCCCGATCCCCCCTTTAGGAGTGTTATCAGTGTATTTGTCAATGTTTGAAGGTAATAAAAACGTTAAGTGTAGCTGCTAATATTTGCTAATTTGTGTGTATCTCTATATATAAAGCTATCACTAAGAAAACTAGGAATCAACGCACAGCCAAATCCATTGATTAACAATATTAAAATGCACTTTTATTACATTCTTATAACTTTAAACTGATTTGCTAAGATTTATTGGGGCTCCCCAAGTGGCCCCAATCGCTTCCAATTGGAAAAAACGTAAATTTACCTTTCAAAAATTCTGGACGCTAAACCGTTTAACCAATCGAATCCGTGTTTTCGCCCAAAAATACTTTAAAACATTATACATGTTTACAAAATTTGACCGCTTAGATTTAAGGCTTTTTACTATTTTTAAGACCCGTTCCAAAATTACAATTTTGCCAAAAATATCTTTAAACGTCGAAAAATTGCACTTCTAAATTGAGTATCAAAAATTCCATCGGTAAAGTTTTTCCTTAGGTTTTAACGATTCATTTGATGGTTTCACCAAAGCTCTAGCTATCTTTTAAACAGAGAAACTAAGCAAAAAGTCGACCTATTATCGAATTCAAGTGTCTCCATAATGCTGCCTGCATATTGCTATCTCTCTCTGCATTTTCATACAAATTGTCAACAAATGATTCCGTCTCCCTCCCTCTCCCTCTGCCATGCATTTCCCAGCGCTTCCTTAAAAATATAAAATGTGCTTTAATATGGTTATAATTTCTGTAGACTTTAGTTTATAGTTATTGGTGACCAATCCCTCACCAAAGTGCCCCAAACTCATTCAATTATAAAATTAAATCCTGTACGCTAAACCGTTAAACCAATCTATACCGTGTTTTCGCTAAAAAATAGTTAAAAACATAATAAAAGTTTAAAAAATATGACGGCTTCAATTTTTAACTTTTTACTTTTTTAGGACCCGATTTAAAAGTAGCCGATGTTGCACACGCTTGCAACTATATATCTCCATCTCTTTTCCACCCCCTGACTCTGCTTTATGATTGTCATTTTTTTCTTCGAATTACCATTACAAAAAATAATTAAAGTTGGTATAACTATATTTATATTTATTTTACTAGGTGATAGAACGGCCGGTGTTTTTGCCCAAACTTTACCTAAAATAGGAGATGGAGATTATCCAACTGTTGATGGAAAAATATTAATTTCATCAAGTTTAGGTACAGTTGTTAACACTTTGGAAGAACTTGCATCAAAAAATTTTCCAGATATTTCAAATATTGTTCACAAGTCATTGGACTGGCTATCAGAAAGTGCAATAATAGCTTCATGAAATGACAGAGCTGCTTCAATAAATAATCATCTTTCAAAATAATTTAACGGTGAGGAAGTTACATACAAATCAGTTGACACTGTTACTGAGGTAGAAGATGCTGTGCATTATCCTACTGAATTTCTTAACATGCAGAATCCAGCAGGATTGCCTTTGCACGTTCTTACGCTAAAAATTGGTACATTAATAATGTAGCTAAGAAACTTAAGTCCCCCAAAGTTATGCAATGGAACGAGATTGCAAGTTAAAGCTCTTCACAAATTTGTTATTGAAGCCGTTATTTTTACCGGCTGTGCCAAAGGAGAGACAGTATTAATACCAAGAATTCCTCTAACGTCATCCAACTTACCATTTGAGTTTAAACGTCTACAGTTTCCTGTAAAGGTCTGTTTTGCCATTACAATAAATAAGACACAAGGGCAGACTTTGAAAGTAGCTGGATTAGATCTTATTGACGATTGTTTTTCCCATGGACAATTTTATGTGGCCTGTTCAAAAGTTAGCTCGGTAAAGAGCTTAATCATCCTATCTCCTGATGGCCAAACAAAAAATGTTGTTTACAGAGAGGTTTTAAAATAACTTTTAAAAATATTTGTACTTATATTGTGGACTAGGCCTATTTAGGGGAAACCACGTTAAAAAAAACGCGCCGTATTCTCTACCTCCGGGTGGTGTGGAAATGAGGGTTAATTAAAGTTTCATCCAAATCTACAAATAAATTTAAACTAACTTCTAAAATGCAAAATTATATAATTCTACTGCAAACTATTTCATATGAAAAGTAGCTTCAGATATTTGGGCACCCTGCTAGTTCATTAATAAACTCATGATGTCTTACTGTTTTCAGGGTCAAATTTGCGACGCAGTCTGCTGCTCTTCCTTTGCTTTTGTGATGTTTCTTTTGTGTTCGTTAGTTGTGTTTGTAGCAGGGACCGTAAATAATCATTATTTGAGATTTTTATTTTAAGAGGCCTACTGAGGTTTTTACATATTTTAATCAACAATTTATAGACATAATCAAATAACAGTTAATTTGCTTTCCAAATTTGTTGAAATGCATATACTTTGTGGACAAGAGTAAAAAGAACGTTATTTTTGACGTTTAAAAATAAATATCACAGTAGTCTTCTTAAAATAAAAATCTCAAAAATTGATTATTTACGGTCCCTGGCTTGTTGACAATTTTGGATATTATTTTTTTCGCTCATTTTTATGTTATCATTTTCTATTTTTTCTACATTTTATTTATTAGAAGATTTTTGTAAATTTTTTGTTTTTTGGACTAAAATTAAAATCTGAATGATTTTGTTTTTGTTTTTTATGATTTAAATACATTGAAAGAACTAGAGAACCCCATTTGTTTATATTTCGAAATGCTTGTGGAGAGGGGGAGAGGAGATACACTTTCACAAATTTATACTGAAGATAATTTTAGCACTGTAACTTAACTGGAAGTATCTTTGCGCACCATCGCCATATAAGCCATACTAAGGTGCTATGTGAGCTATAGGATAGAGTCTTCCGATGTTGCCAATTTTTTTACTCCATATTCTCAATATTTTTTTAGATTTTTGAGGAAAATTTCATAACCATATCTCAACGGGAAATATTTATGGCCGCGGCCCCATACAAGCCCAACCAGTGTGCATTGCTTTCATTGGCAGGGATTTAAAAAAATTTGTATTTGTATTGGTAAGACGGTAAAATAATTTCGGATTACGTTAATTTTTAAAATTTGTCAAAAAAAAATTGCTGACATGTACAAGAAAAGTGAAATATTATCTAAGAGCAGATGCCAATTTTAGCTTTAACGGGGGTCCAGCTTCTTTATATTTGAGCCCTTTGGGCCAGGATTTTCACTTGACTTGTCCCTTTACTACTCCGCCCGTTGAAAGGTGTACAGCCTTTCAAGCACCATATTGGATCGGCAGAGGTGCGATCTTGCAGATTGGTCGTCGTATGACTGCTTTGGCCGTTTTAACATTGACCACGCGAACTTTGTTGTCCTCTCCACTGATCGAGTCGACCATGGTGGAACTATACAAGGTGGTCTAGTCAGCTCTGCTTAGGACGTTAAATATGTTTACCTCTCTGTCTCTCTTAAGCGATAGAATGAGAAAGCTAGATAGAGACAGGCACAAATAACGTCCTCAAAAGAGGGCAGCTCTTGCGACGAGATCACCTTGTATAGTTCCACCATGGAGTCGACAATGCGTCCAGTTAGCCAGTGCTGGGGAGGGCTATTGTCTTCATGTATGAGAACAATCTGACCAGGTTCGAGGTTAGCCATTGGAGAAGTCCATTTTGCTCGCATCTAAAGGGAGTGCAGGTAGTCCCGCCGCCACAGGTCCCAAAGGCGTCTTTTCGTGTATGCTATGCGTTGGAATCGTGTTAGATACGATAACTTGTTGTCATCCACTGCTGGTTCAGGGAGTGCCTTAAGGGATGAACCAGTGAGGAGGTGACCAGGGGTAAGAGCTTCCCCGTCATTGAGATCCTCTGAATGACCAGCAATTGGCCGAGAATTCAGGATGGCTTCGGCCTCAATTGCGATCGTCTGCAGTTCCTCGTATGTCATCCCGCTGTCCGACATAAATTTGACGAGTAGGTTCTTCATAGATTTAACCGCCGCCTCCCAGAGTCCACCGAAATGTGGCGAAATAAAGCAGAATTCGACTCCAGTGTCGTTGCTGAAGGTTTCCAGATCCTGATTAGTTTGCTGACTAAAGAGTTCTTGCTTGAAGCGGTTGAGTTGGACGCTGGCTCCAGTGAAATTTGTCGCGTTATCACAATATATGCGACAAGGGCTGCCACGACGAGAAACAAAGCGCTTCAACGAGAGAATGAATGTATTAGTTGAAAGGTCTGAGAGTAGCTCTATGTGTACCGCCTTTGATGAGAAGCAAACATAGATCGCCAAATAAGTCTTATATGGCACCTTGCTGCGTATGCGATGGGATGTTAAAAACGGTCCACACAGTAGATCTCCAGTTACAGTTAATGGTCTGACGGTCTGCAGTCGGTCAGAAGGAAGCGAACCCATTATTTGATTCGCAAGTCTGGGCTTGTAGTGGTAGCAGTGGACGCAGTGCCTGACTACAGATAATGCCAGTTTTTTGGCATTCGCAACCCAAATGTGTAGACGAAGTAAACCCACAAGCGCTTTGGCTCCAACATGCATGTTAGTCCTATGCAAGTGATTGACAAACTTCCAGGTGAAATCATGGTCCCTTGGGAGGAGCATAGGATATCTCGAGTTGATAAGAATTGGGGCTCTAGTTAGAAATAAAGGTTTTCTAAGAAATAGAAATACCGATTTTTTTTAATACAGATAAATATTTTCTAAATCCAAAGAAAAAGTTGTATGCTTTCTAAAAACTTTTCATTATTTTGAAGAAAAATAAATCCTAAATTAAGAAACCTGTTTTACAGAAAGGAAAACATTTTCCTAAAATCTGGAAAAATATGTATTTTGTTTTAGAAAAAACTGTAAATTTTTTTTAAATTTTTAAAAAACCCAAAAAAAAATATATAAAAACTAGAAATGATATACACTCAGAAAAAAAATCGCCCTGAATTTTAGAAAATCGCCATACTTTTTAAGCCAAAGGCAGCTCGCCTTGCCTTTAAGAAAAAATATTTCTAAAAATTAGAAAAAAAATTTCTTAAATTTAGGGTTAGTTTTTGCAAAATTGAATAAGAAGAAGAAAAAAAAATCGGGGAATCGGGAGTTATGCCGATGTGGGATGTTGTTGTTGGGGTTCTCGTTTCTCAACTTATTATTCTCTCCTCTATTTAAACACTTGGATGACGTCACGATGCTTGTACACAAACACACCTTTAATCTTAAATTGTAACTGAAATTATTATATTATTTATTAATGATAAACATAAAAATCAAATAACTCACTATCTTGAGAAAAACATTTTGGTCGCTCGCGGGAATCGAACCCCTTACCTCACAGTTTGCAGTCAAACACTCTACTACACTCATAACAAAAAATCGAAGAATTTCCGTTAAATCTAGAAAATTTTTTCTTGAATTTTTGCCAAAGGTGACCTCGCTTTTGTTTCAAGAAATGGTTTTTTTTAAAGGCACCTTTAAAACAAGAAAAAATATTTCTTGAAACAAGAAATTAAATTTCCTAAATCAAGAAATGGTTTTTTAGAATCCCACCATTAAAAGAAGAAAAAATATTTCTTGAAACAAGAAAGGCGATTCTTGTTTCAAAGGTGCTTTCTTTCTTGCTTCAAGAAATTAAATTTCTTGTTTCAAGAAAGGGTTTTTTAGAAAGGCACCTTTAAAACAAGAAAAATTCTTTCTTGTTCAAATTTCCTTTCAAGAAATTTTATTTCTTGATTTAAGAAATAATATTTCTTGAAAGGAAGTTTTATATTAACACTGAAACCCTAAAAATAAAATGTAACTTGGTTTTTTCTTGTGCATGCTATATTTATTTACATTTAAAACATTTAACACTTAAAAATTAAACATTTTTAAATAACACATTTTTGACTTAAGAAAACATTATTATTACCCAAGGTCTGTTGAACTTCATATGACCTAAGGTGATCAATTTTCTTCGCCTTTCCTCATCTAGAAAAAAAAGAGTTATTGGAATATCAATGATTTGTTTTTAGTTAAACAACTTTTTTAAAATAATGTAATGTTAATAATAGCCAAAATACAAACACGTTGGTCAGCCGACCCAGAGAGAGGAGCAAGACAGGTAGAAAATGAAGGCTTGAAAATCGAATTTCAAAGAGAGAGAGGCACGGGAGAGACACGTACATACATACATATATATTTACATACAGTCCTTTGCGAGAAGGGAGAACGAATGTAAGCAGGGCAGATCATGATAATTTTAAGAAGGAGAAGAGAGAAATGTCGCGACGCGTAGGTCAAGCGAGCGAGAGAGAGGAGCAGAATATGAAAGGGTTGAAAATCGGGTTTCAGATCGGGTGAGCCGCGTACATCCATAAATATTTACATGCATACATAAGTATGTCAAACAAATACAACATATTTTTCTTACCTTAGAAGGTTTTAAAACAAAATTACAGCTTCGCCAAAAAAATTATTTGGCTGATGCAACTGCAGGTATTTTCACTCTGAAAAAAAAAATAAAATGCGAGTAATGAGATAAAGTTATTATAGAACTCTGCACCCACAAATTTATGTACAAATGTATGTATGTACGTAGCTCTTAGCTAAAAAACAAAACAACTAAATTGGTATACGCTTGGTAAAAAGATTTGAAATTTATCCTTTAATTACATACATACAATTGAACGCCCGATATACAACAAATTATATACAACCCTAGTCAAAAGTATTTTCTCAAATTTGAATGTTAACTGTACTCATATTTTGAACTTATAATATAAACATTTTGGCACCTATGGAAAGAGCACTTCAATTCCGTTTAAATGACACAAAAATTTTCTTAACCCATTAAGCACCCTTTGAAAAGTGAGCAAATTAGACAATTTTTTTTGAAAATAAAATTTTCAACTTTTTCCCTGGGGCTTAAAACAAAAATGTTTTGATGCAAAGTTGTTCCCCAATCAAAATTAATAATAACTGCAAAAAAAAAAAAAATTCAAAATATTTTTCCTTGTATTTTTTATGATTTTTTGAAAATAGCTATTTTTGCCGCTTTTTCTTCCTTTTCATACAAAATTTTACTGAGAGGTCTCCATTCAAAAAATCATAAAAAATACAAGGAAAAATATTTTGAAACATTTTTTTTTGCAGGTCTTATTAATTTTGATTGGGGAACAACTTTGCATCAAAACATTTTTGTTTTAAGCCCCAGGAAAAAAGTCGAAAATTTGACTTTCGCAAAATTTGCTCACTTTTCAAAGGGGTCTTAATGGGTTAAGAACATTTTTGTGTCATTTAAACGGAATTGAAGTGCTCTTTCTATAGGTGCCAAAAGTTTATATTCTTAGTTCAAAATATAAGTACAGTTAACATTTACATTTGTGAAAATACTTTTGACCACCCCTGTATTTACATACCTTTGAATATTTGGAAAAAGGCTTCACCTCTTATCCGCTTGAAAATCACGTCCATCACTCACGAATTTTTTTCACAACTGACGCTCGGGTGATCAGAGAAGTCGGAGCCGGGTAGTAGTCGGGCCGAGTAGGCCCTTCGTCCTACTTCGTTTTTCTTGTCGTTAACATTCGGCAGCCGAAGGAAGTCAATGGCTACTTTTCTATATTCTAGGGTCATTTCATTCATATATTCAAAGGTGATTTTGTCCTTAAATACGTACAAAAATGTTTTGGCTGCGACGGCAAAACAAACATATGAGATTTTCATTTTTCTATTTTTAAGAAAAATTCTTTCTTGAATTTTTTCCATCAAGAAAGGTTTTCTGTATTCAAAGGCAAATTTTGTAATAACAAGAAATTTTTTTTCTATTTTCAAAGGTAGGCCGATTCAATGGCGAGATTTCCAAAATTTAGCTGCGCCAGGGAAGCATCACGAGATGCGCTGTACAAAGTACATTCTCATTCTGTTCTCTTGGGTTTTAGGTTTATAATCTTATTTATCCATTATGTGTATGTTAGCTTACCTAAATCCTTATTTGTATTAAAGTAATCATATTAATGCGCAAAAAAAAAAAGAAAGACGCAAAAAATGTCCGCCTCGACGTGGGACCGAATATAAGCGTAGAAAACAAATAATCCGCTCGCATTAGACCCCTAGGCTACCGATTGGGCCAATGTAAAGCGATTTTTTCTTAGTTTGAAAGAAAAATTTCTGAATAACAGAAAATTTTTCTAAAAGTGGATAACAAGAGGAGTTGATCTAATCAGGGTAAGTTTTTCTTATTATTTAGAAAAATATTTCTGAAAAATAGAAATATTTTCTGAATTTCAAGGCGATTTTCAAAGTATGGCGATTTTCTAAAATTTAGGGCGATTTTTTTTCTGAGTGTAGGACACGAGGTCATTTTTAGGTGGTTATAAAAACAGGGTGGTCAAAAGTATTTCCACAAATTACACGTACTTACTTATAAGAAATGTGCAAATACTTTTGACCACCCCTGAAATTCAACAGTTTCTTGCTTTTCAACACACTTTATAGTTTACATTTAAACTTAATGTCAAAACAAAAAATAATTAAAAATAAAATTTTGGCTTAATATAGCTGTTGTTGTTAAGTAAATGAAACTGTGCGGGTGGGTGACATATGTCTGATAACTTAATTAATTTATAATTAATAGCTAATATCATTTATGAAGACAATGAACAGCAACGGACCCAAAGCACTTCCCTGAGGAAGGCCAGAAGTTGCCACATATGGGTTAGAGTAAACAGCATTGCATTCAACTCTGTAAATCCGATCATCTAAATATGATTTAAAACAGCTAAGTAATTGTGAGTGAAATCCCATTTTCTGCAGTTTAGCTAATAAAGCATTGTGGGAGACTTTATCAAATGCTTTAGCGAAATCGGTGTAGACCACATCAACTTGATGATCACTGAGAAACGATTGGAATTATTGAACGTAGCTAAGTTTGTGGTAGTCGACCATCGAGGCATAAAACCATGTTGGTTAGGACTGATGATCCGACCAACAAGAAAAGTTAGCTGCTTGGCTACAATTCGTTCGAACATTTTTGAGACATTGCTGAGCTTTGCAATTGGCCTATAATTTGAAACAATATTTTTTGAACCCGACTTGAATATAGGAGTAACAGTGGCCAGATTCCATCTATGCGTAAAAACACCAGTGGAAAGAGATAAATTAAAGATGATTTTAAGGGGCTCACAAAGAACACCTACACAATTTTTCAAAATAAATGGAGAAAGGCCATCACAATCAAATTTTTCTGACTCATTAAAGCTTTCGGCCGCCAGATGGCAATCAGAATCGGTGACATCTAAGCAACCAATATTTAACATAGTAGGAATGGCATTGAGCGAATCATCGTCATTCCACAGCGAGCCCGGCTCAAAGTTAGATGCAAAGAACTTAATTAGCGACCCCAATATCCGAGGAGGCTGAATGATCTTCAAATGACATATGGGAAGGAAAGTAAGAAGATGTTCGTTTGGAATTGATAAAGTGCCAGAATGATTTAGGATTGGTGGTTAATTTACGCTCTATATCAGCAATATATTGGTTGTATAAGAATTTATTGAGGAACTCAAACTCAC